CAGCAGCAAAAGTTAATGCTCATGAATTCTTCAGCCAGTGACCTAGTGGTTGGCACTTCAGATCTAGAGATACACATCTGGAATCCCAACATGACCTGGGTCAACTACTAGAAAAACTACATACAAAAATGATATCTTGTCAATATATATATTTACCACCACCCTGTGTTTCCTCAGCTATAAAACAGGGACACACATCTCACAGAACATTACAAGAATTAATATACCTAAAATTCTTGGCAGAGTACCTGGGCATGGTTAGTGCTCAATAAATATTACCTATATTATTACTGCTAAAGATATAAAATTTTTATGGAATATCTGTCATGGATCAATTACTAAGAACTTCAGGTGTTGGATTATCTCAGCTTTCTCTTGATTGTTGGTTTCTCCTTTCATACTGTACCATTTTCACAAGCAAATAAACATGCTCAAGTGTCTCCCATCTTTAAGACTTTGTGTGATGTGACCCCAGACTACCTCTCTGAATTCAGATCATGATGCTCTTCCCATTGGGGACAGAGGCAAAAGTTTGGCCAGTGTATTCAAGATGAGGTCTCTAAAGAGCTTGTGGTCCAACTGGCTCACAAGTCTAATTTAAAGAAAGCAAAGAAAGCATGCCAACACACAGCTGTGCCAAATAGCGGCTGTTTAGATGCAAACCCAAATAAACACAAGTAGATAGAGGTGGAGGGGGTTAGGGAAACCTTGCAGGAGAGCAGGAATGGAAAGGACCACACCTGCATTGTTCTCTGCACACTCAGCATGTAACACAGTGCCTGGCATACAATAGGAGTCAGTAAATATTTGTGGGACAAATGAATGACACATGCATTAATGAATAAATGGTGTGGTTTTCTGCCCTACTGGAGCTCACTCCCTGGTTGGGGAGGCTAACAAGTAAAAAAATATTTGTATGAAACATGATGGCCGGGGTAGATACATTCAAGATAATTTAAGGGTTTACAGGCAAGAATTATCAATTCTGCCTGGGAAGAGGTTAGGGAAGACTTCGGACAAGGGATTTCACTGGGAGTTGAAGGATAATTAGGGAGGGCAGATGAGAGGGGACAGTCATGCCGGGTTGAAGACACTGCAGTGCTGATGAATGAAGAGGGGTTCACTGCTGGCGGAGAGTCATTAAAGTAGCAGATAAGACAGCGTGTGATCAAGTGTCATGACCACTAGGGCTCTGGGATGTGAGAAGGTGGAGGTGGTTGGTTGGCACATAGTAGACTGTCAGTGGATATTGGGGAAAGGAAAGCAGGCTGGATTATTAAGGGCAATTTGGGGCAGATTCGAGCCATTACTGAGCCTTGAAATGTAAAACTATAGTCTAAACGGAAATCATTATGCTAATAAAGGTCATAATTAATATTAATGAGAAGACGGTCACTGATGATGACGTTGGTCCCTCCAGAGGGAGCAAAAGCCGAGAGATGAGAAGGTGCGTCTAGCACTGTAGCAGGCTACTCTGTCTAACTCTGCCACATAGAAGGGAGGGCGGGAGGGCAGGGGAAGGACCTCACCATGACTCAGGCGGCTGCTGGGGAGGAGGCTGCCTTCTCTCCGCCTGCTTTAGCTGCTGCTTTCCCTGCCCTTGGGCGAGGTCTGGCCTTGGGAAATGGTCCTCATCCCTGCAAGTCTACAGTTGCTCCCAGGAATGCTGATCCCCTGGAGAGGTTGCTTTGTCTGAGGTCTGCGAAAGCAAAAGTCTGAGTAGCCAATATTTGCTCCTCCTTCTTTCTTCCCTGCCCAGATCCTGCAGGGGCAAAAGCACTAGAACTGGGAGATGGTGGTCTGCAGGGCTGAAGATCTCAAACTGAATGTACACCTCGAAAACGTTTGGCCAGGTGGAGCCAGTGACAGAACGCTGGGCAGTCTTGATCGAGGGCAGGAAGCCAGAGCAGGGCAGTCTCAGGGGAATGTGGAACAGACGGTGTGGTCCTCCTGTGCTTCCCAGAAGGATAGGATGTGTGGATGATCTCAGGGCCTCCCTGTTTTTTGAAATAAATCCACTTTCCTCACTGTACATGGGCTTCCTGCCTGCATATTTCACTTGAGAGGTAGTCTAAAGTGTGATGGTGGAGGTCCAAAGTATTATTAGTTAATAGTAATTGTGAACATTTACTGCTGATCCAGCTATTGTTCTAAGGCCTTTGTATTAATTAACTCATTTAATCTCAGTGCAGGAGATATGGGTTTGATTCCTGAGTTGGGAAGATTCCCTGGAGAAGGAAATGGCAAACCACTCCAGTACTCTTGCCTGGGAAATCGCATGGACAGAGGAGCCTGATGGGCTACACTCCATGGGGTCGCAAAAGAGTAGGACAGGAGTTAGCAGCTAAACAACAACAGGAAACACAGAGGCTGAACAGGTAGTGAGCACTATGCTAATCACAGGGAACACTTGGACACAGTTGCTCCAGCATTGACCACGCAGTCCATGGGGTGGCAAAAGTCAGACCGATTTAGCTGCTAACAAAAACAAATCTCTCAATAACGTGAAAGGGACACCTGTCATTCCCATTCTACACACACGGGGACTGAGGCTCAGGGAGGTGAAGCAATTGCCCAAGGTCACACAAGACAAGAAGCTGCGGAGCCAAGAATGGAACCAGGCAGTGTCGCTCCTGGAATCACTGTGGCTCCTCAGTTCTAGAGGTGGCCTCAGGGAAGGGAACGGAGGACTCCCAGGACCCAGCCAACCAGTAAAGAAGAGGGCCAGGAGCTAATGGCCGGTGCTGTGTTCACTGCCAGGTTCTTAGAGCCCCTGACCCAGGGGGGAGGAGTCCAGCTCTGTTGTGTGAGTGGAGGACTGGGCAAGCACTTCACACTTTTAAACCCTTGTCTTCTTATCTGAACAATGGAGAGTGACCGCTGATCTGCAGGACCGTTGGGAGGAGTAAAGCAGCCCATGCAAGTGCCTGATACATCACAGTAGCTGCTCAGTAAACGAGCCCCGTCTCCCTCTTCTCACCTGGGTCAAGTTTGCCTTAACCTAGGTTCAGTCACCTTTCCCACAAATCTGTAGTGAGGGCATCCCAGGTGCCAGACTTTCTGCTATGCCCTCGGAGAGACACCAATGAAGGAAGAGGCTGGACCTATGTGAAGTGGAGAGGGGGAATGACCCAGAGTAACAGAAAGAAACAAAATGAATTTTTAAGTAACCCACGACAACACAATACCTGATAAACAAATGTTCTCCTCAAAAGCAGTAGCCTCAGGAAGGTGTATGGTTGTTCCAGAGACAGAGGCTCTGCCAAACACTGACATCAGCCACTGACTCTCCTCCCAGGCATTCCCCCCTGGTGAACTCCCCTGTCAGGAAGACTGCCTTTTAGGAAAACCAAGACTTGGAGCAGGAAACAATCCGCCAAAGTCATATGCAGGGCAAGAGCAGAACCAGAAAACAGAACTTTTGATTTCTGAACTGGAGGTCTTCCCAATTCTTCTCTAAATTAGGTGTCACAGCTTTGGCTCAGAATGGCTTTGGACTGGTTTGTTTGTTTGTTTGTTTGTTTTTTAAATAACTCGACCCAGGTTAGTAGGACCAGAAACTGGGAATGTCCAAAGGAATCTGTCTGTGGCTCTGCCTGGCGGTGCCGTGATAGGAATGAAGCTGAGTGCAGCAAGGTTATCACCAAGGGCTGGGTGCCAGGGATCTGGATTTAAGTGAACTTTATATAGAGTGCAACGGCCTGCCATTCTTTGGGTGGAAGGAAAGAGCTGAGAGCAGTCTACTCTTGTTTTCTTTCGGCCACCTGGCAGGCAGCAGGCAGGATCTCAGTTCTCAGATGGGAGATTGAAACCACGCCCCCTGCAGTGGCAGCGCCGAGTCCTAACGACTGGGCTCCCAGGGAAGTCTCGCCAGTAGACGCTTGTAGTGGGGGCTTCCGGCTTTTCAGAGTCATTCAAAGAGCTGGTGGGCTGGTTTTCCGGCACCTCTTTGGCAGCTTGGAGTCCTCCGGTTAGGTGTGCGAAGACCCTGAAGTGAGATTTATTCCATTCTGAAGATGTAACTCCGAAGAGCTTTCAGAAAGTTCTCTCCTGGGCTTAAGGCACTGAGGTTCTCCTTGACTAGGGGAGTCTAAATCTAGTCCTGCTTGCAGGCAGCGGGTGGATTAGGTGATCCCGGAAGGACCTTGCTGGCATCGGGATTCCGGGCGCCTTCGTGGCCCTGTGGACGTGCCTGTGTGCGCCCGTAAGTGTGTGGCGGCTGGGAGGCGCCTAAGTGCGGCCGCTGGTGGGTGTGCCTGAGGAGCTGGGCCCGGGCTGCGCCCGCGGCGCCCACTTGTGGCTCCCAGGCGCCGCCAGGAGGAACCGCGCCTTTGCCGCCTCTGCCGGGGACGCCGCCCGATAGGAGGAGGACGGAAGGCTGATGACATGAGGGCGCCGTCTCCCAAGTGATGGCAGCGCGCGCTGCTTCCTCGCCGCCTCCGCCGCTCAGCCCCGGACTCCTTACGTCAGGGTAGCTGGGTACCCCCTCCGCGCGGCAGCCAGCGAGCAGCGGGAGAGCAGAGCAGAGCGCGCCGCGGAGCCCGAGCGCCCTCCCTGCGCGCTGAGCCCTGCTGAGTCCAGCCGAGTCGGGCAGGAGGCAGCGCGGCCGAGCCCTCGCGGGACGCCGCCTTCCCACCCGGTGCTCCCCGGCCGCAGCCGCCGGGAGCCGCGGGGCGCCGGGCTCGTCCTGTGCGCCCCCCCCCCGCCCGCCATGCGCGCTGGGCTCCGCGGCTCTCCTGAGCAGTCCCAGCGCGGTGGGCACCGGCGCCTGGGCCGGGGTGCCTCTCGCTGAAGTAGTTGCGCGCCCAGAGGAGGGGGTCGCCACGTCGGGGGCGCGACCGGGACCCGCGGAGTCCGCCCCCGAGCGCGGGGAGCGGGGCCGCCTGCGCCGCCCGACCATTACCTCCCCGGGAGGCAAGGAGGAGCTGGTGGCGGCTGCCTCCCGGCTGTGGCAGCGGCGGCGCCGCGCCTGCCTGGCGGCCGTCGGCGTGCTCCTGGCCATGGCGCTGGGGCTGCTTATCGCCGTGCCGTTGCTGCTGCAGGCGGCGCCCCCCGGCGCGGCGCACTACGAGATGATGGGCACCTGCCGCATGATCTGCGACCCCTACACCGCCGCCCCGGGCGGGGGGCCGGCGGGAGCCAAGGCTCCGCCGCCGGGACCCAGCACGGCCGCGCTGGAAGTCATGCAGGACTTGAGCGTCAACCCTCCGCCCCCTTTCATCCAGGGACCCAAGGGCGACCCGGGGCGACCTGGCAAGCCGGGACCGCGGGGACCCCCGGGAGAGCCGGGCCCACCTGGACCCCGGGGTCCCCCGGGGGAGAAGGGCGACTCGGGGCGGCCCGGGCTGCCTGGCCTGCAGCTGACGGCGGGCGCGGCCGGAGGTGTCGGGGTGGTGGGTGGCGGAACCGGGGGCGGCGGTGACTCTGAGGGCGAAGTGACTGGCGCGCTGAGCGCCGCCTTCAGCGGTCCCAAGATCGCCTTCTATGTGGGTCTTAAGAGCCCCCACGAAGGCTACGAGGTGCTCAAATTCGACGACGTGGTCACCAATCTCGGCAATCACTACGACCCTGCTACGGGCAAGTTCAGCTGCCAGGTGCGTGGCATCTACTTCTTCACCTACCACATCCTCATGCGCGGCGGCGACGGCACCAGCATGTGGGCGGACCTCTGCAAGAACGGGCAGGTCAGTGACACCCCCGCTTCCCCTCCACCCGCGCAAGTCCCCGCGGACCCTCGTTCCCACCCAGCTCCCCAAACCTCCTGGGAGCTCAGCCTCTTCTCCCCATTGGGAGGGAGCGCACCGCAGCATCGCGTCTCCCAGTGCGTCCTGGTCGCACTTTATCCGGTAGCTCCAAGAGGTTGGGTTCCCCACTACCCAAATCGCGCCCCCCTGCTATTTACATAGCCGCCTGAAGCCCCGTGGGGTTCACGGAAACTTCATTCTGTGCGCCCCTTTCCCCCCTCTGCCCTCCCGTCTTCCTTCTTCTTGGCCCTGGCCCCTGGTTCCCGCTCTTCCCCACTGGGTCAGCGTCCCCGAAGCCCTCTGCCTCCCTTCTTCCCGGATTTGGCGACTGTGGAGACTGGGGTGCCGGGAAGGAGTTGGCTAAGGTGGAGAGAGAGCATGGAGCCTGGGTGGGAGCGTGGACCCTGGAGCGGCAGGCGGAAGGCCGTCCATGGGGTACGCCACGTGGGGGGTCGGGCAAGGGCCACGGCCGAGGTATCCGGGCCGACCAGCTCTGACGGCTCGCCCCTAGGTCCGGGCCAGCGCCATCGCGCAGGATGCCGACCAGAACTACGACTACGCCAGTAACAGCGTGGTGCTACACCTTGATTCGGGGGACGAGGTGTATGTGAAGCTGGACGGCGGAAAGGCGCACGGAGGCAATAACAACAAGTACAGCACCTTCTCCGGCTTTCTTTTGTACCCGGATTAGAGGGGCAGGGAGCGCGAGGTGGGGTGGCTTCAGGCCGCCCTATGCCCGTGGGGGCGCTCTGTTCCCTGGCGAGGACCACTGTCGCTTCGTGACACTTCCTGACATCGTTGGAAAAGACACACCCCCGCTGTCCTTCCTGCCCCGCTTCCGACCTCCGTGCGTCTGTGACTCGCCAAGCTCCCGGCTGTCCTCCTGGTCCCTGGCCCCAACCTGGGGCGGGAGAGCGGGACGCCCAAGTGGAGAAATGAGCGTGAAACTGAAACCCCAGCCAGGGAGGCGGCAGCGCAGACTTTGCAGAGCTGATTGGACTGGACAGGCCCTGGAGGGATGCCTGAGCGCTTCCAGTCCCCCTCCTCCTCCGAGAGCCCTGAGACTGAGGGCTCCCAGCTCTGGCCACCGAGGTAGGCCAAAGCGAGCACGAGCTCCCTGGGGTGTCCTTCTTTGTGACCTGAAATACTTGTGCAAATGTCCCTGTCCATCAGCTGAAATCCCACCCTCAGCAGAATCCCAGCAATCAGAAAATCCATCTCTACACCGCACTCCCGCCTCAGACCTACCGCGATGCATTAAATTATGTTTCTAGACTATGGACTCTTGATGTCTCTGTCAGCCTGGTCCCGGGACCGGGCCTCCAGATGTTCACCTTGACATAAAGACCGGAACTGGGCCCTGAATAGCTCCATCTCTACCCTGGTTGCCAACCACTGCCTTGTCTGTGCTGCCTGGGTGGGTGAAAAGATGTGGGGAGATGGGAGGGTAGCCTCTCACCCTTTAGGGTGCATCTCCGCTGGGCTGGGCTGCAGCCTTGAACTGGAGGGGACCAGAGGAGGGCGGGAAGAAGAATTAGAGGGTGACAGGAGACGGAGTTTGGATTCTCAGGATCCTAGCCTTGTGGGAGGAAGTCAGAGGCCAGGAGTTTCTGGAGAAGGAAAGGGAAGAGGAGGCATTTCTGCAAAATGAGAGGGGTGAAGGAGATATTTGCCATCAGATGATCTCTGAGATCTCCTAAAAGGCAGTAGAGAAATCCCTGAGGAAACACACACACTCGGGCATGTAATGCACTCAGCACATGTCTATCAGCTTACACTAGCTGGGTCCATAATCTCCAAGTCAATTGCCTGGTACACTGAGGCAATTGTATGGACCATCCAACTCCTTAAATTCACCCAGAGCTGTGTGATAAATGAGAAAGACTCTCCCCTTCGTGGTGGGACACTCCCCTTTGGGGGTCTTCCTGTGTGTGTGGTGGTGTGGGGCACCTGCTCTGAACCTGACCGCATTTGTTTGGTCCTTCCCTCCCCTTCACTGTCACACACATGCACATACACACACACAGAGGTTAAGAAAACACTCCACATGGTGTTTTTGTTTTTTTTCACTTTTTTGTTCTGTTTTTCGATTATTGAGTTCCAATAAACAGTACGTTATCTACAAAATAGCTAGCTAGCAACCTGTTACTATTTACAGAGCTTATTTTGACCAGTTGTTTGCAGAGAAATGTGAATATGTACACAGAGGAAACCCTGGAGTGTGCTACCTATGTCGAACTGGATATGCATACACACACCCCATGCGGATATAATGTGGTTGTCATCGCTAATCCGTGTTACACAGGTGCACACACCCACACATATTCATAGACTCATGTCAGTGTGGTGTGTGACATATTCGTGGCTATGTGTCTGCTCCCAAATCGCAATGTGCTCAACTTTAATTCCTGGAAGATGCTGAGATTTGTGATTCTGATTTAAAAGACAATTATACCCCCTGCCTTGAGTCTTGTCTCTGTCGCTATTCCTTTTTATGCTCTTATTTTATTTGAATAATGTTTTATTGTCATTCACTTGAATATTAGCAATGACTGCATCTGCTTCAAGTCTAGGCATAAAGTGCTCAAAGATATCGAGCAGGAAAACAATATCCACATGCAAACCATCACCCTCCCAGTTCCAGCCCAAATGAGCTGCAATTCCCCACCCACCCCACCACACCCCAGTGACTGTGGAACCCGAAGCGACCTGAGCCCAGGAACAGGGGAGGGCAGAGTCGATCCCGTCTACAGTCGCGTACGTATCAATTTCTGATGCCTTGTCGATTGTATCATCCAGAAATGCGATTAAAATCAAATATATGAGACCCAAATGAAGTCTAATTGCTATGGATCTGCAATCCCCAGTGGGCCCCTAATCCTTTTTGACTTATTCCTCCCCTTCCTCCGATGAGACGGAGCTTAGACACAAAGCCCTCGGTTTAAATTTCAAAAATTAAAATTGACATGCAGCGGTGGCTTTCCTGGGAGCAGGAGGAATTTCTAAGGAGGTGCCGGAGCCCGGCTTTATCCTCTGCATTAAGAAGCAATTTGTACTTCTAACAAAACCCCCACCTCTTCCCTTTGGTGGAAGGGCAGTTGAAACGCCTTGCCCGGGTCTGGTTGTTCACAATACTTAGACAAATCTGAATCTGAGATTCCTCCATCTGTATTCCCCGGTGCAGCCAGGCTTCTTGCAATTCTAATGCCCGGGTTGCCGGGAGGTGCTGCCAGAGGTGTCAGCTGCTAAGAGGATGATAGATTGATGAGGCAACGGGCGGGAGACGTGGCCGATGGCAAGAGCTTGCCAGCTCAGGAGCAATCTCTCCTTGTATCTATACGCTCTCTGGGTTCCAGGCAGGCCCCTCATGACCCAGGGTCTACAACCCCATGATCTTCATGGCGGTCTCCCTCTCCCTGGAGGGAAGGATGGGGAGACCTCTGCCACTGTGTGCCATCAGTCTTGGGGTACATGTGAAGTGAAAGACATTACCTGCCCCAGACACTTTTCTTTTTTGTGTCCAGTTGGTTTGAGAATTATTGTCAATCAGTTGTAAAGTATCATTTTAAGCCCCTAATTGCCTTTGAGTCCATTTTCTGTGTTTAGGTTGGGATTGTCACCTTGACATCTCCCTGGAAGTAGTAGAGGTTTTACTCTGTCCATTTGGGAGGCGGAGAAATTAGAGTTCAGAGAGACCTAGTGGCTTGCCTGTGTTCATAAAGTTTGTAAGAAACTGAGTCTGCACTTGAACTCAGACCTCCATGCTGTGCCACTGCCTGACTGCATAGGTGGAGCCTGTTCGCCTCTCAGAGCTCCCAGGTGTTTGAGAGGAGAGCGCATGGGTGGGACACATTTCTCACTCCTTTCTCTGATTTTGGGAGTCTCAGCATCCTTCAAAGGGTCAGATGAGATGAACCAGCCTGATTCTTTGACTCCGGCTGCCCCCAGAGAGCACCCCAGGCTCCTGAACAGTTTGGCCGAACTTCCTGGGGTCAGTGTTGGTGGCAGGACCATGTGGTCACCCAGTCCTGGTGCTTGTGTTTACCTGTGTGTCTCCACCAGCAACCCCACCACCGTCCTTCTCCTTAGGGGGCCACCGACCACCTTCTCCTCTAATAGCTCCCCTTCTTCCCCTTGCTGGTGGAGAAGATTTAGCTGAAGTGAGCATGGCTGTCCCTGATTGCTGAGAGGTCCTTTTCTCATTCCCAAAGTCCACATCTAGGTGGCTAATTATTTTCGGGACTGGCTGAGAGCTTGAGACACACACCCGGCCCTGGAAACTCAGATAGAAGTTATTCTGTCTGCTACATCTTCCTCCTATCTGTGTGAGCAGATGGCTCTCTTGGGCATCCAAGAAGAAACATCTAGCCCCCCGCTCTGCATGGAGTTATGATGACACCGTGGAGAGGTCATATTGTTGCTTCAAACTTCACTGACCAAGCATTCCTATCGGACAAACATTTTCTGAACACTCATCCCCAATATGTGTATTTGACTTATGAATAATTTATGTATACCACTGTCAAGCCATACTTTAAAAATTCTTTTTGTATTTGTGTTCGTTAAAGGCTCTCCACATTCAAGTGTATGTATGTTCTGGCTGGCTAACCAAGTTTGGAGATAAGTCTCCTCTCACTGCAACTGAAAAAAGCAAGGGTTAACCCATGTGTTTCACTGCAACTTGCCATTTTTTCAAAATCTTGGGCAAAAATATGTTCTTTTATGAGTCCCAGGAGAGTCTGTGCACTCTAATTCTTTGAGTGCGCAGTTTCAATCCATAATTTAAGTATTGTTGTTGCTTAGTTGCTCAGTTGGGTTCAGCTCTTTTATGACCCCCACGGACTACAGGCCCACTAGGTCCCTCCATCCACGGGATTTCCCAGGCAAGAATACTGGAGTGGGTTGCCATTTCTTTCTCCCAGGGGTCTTCCTGACCCAGGAACCGAATCTGTACCTCTTGCATTGGCAGGCAGATTCTTTACTACTGAGGCTTTAGGGAAGCCACTTTTAAGTATTAGTAATGCTTTATTTTCCCCCTCTTTTTTTAGACTAAGCATAAACAGAAGTAACATTTCAATCTTTCCTTCTCTCATCTGATTTTGAAGACTAATGTTGGCATTGGAACCAAATCCTGGAATCAGAATGGGTTGGGGTGGGGGCAAGGTCTCTCCCAGGGACCTGATGGATGTTGGGGAGGATGAAGTTGACAGGTGGAAATGTGGAATTCTAGAGGCATGTTTGGTCTTGTTATTGCTTCAGCCAACAAGGGTGTTCCACAAAGGAGCATGGGTCCCAGCTGTAGTCGAAGTAAATGATAGGAGCAGTCATTTTAAAAATGAAATTCTGTCACAAGAATTTGAAAAATACCCAAAAGTAAAGAGAAAAGTGCAATGATCTCCACGTGCCTGTTTTAACTTTGACACTTATGCACTGTGGCCGTGACCAACCGGGCGGAACTACAGTTTTTGTGGATGGAACCCTCTCGATGTGCCAAAAACTGGTGCTCAGGCAGTTGTTTCCTCACCACACCCCTGTGAAGTAGGCATTGCTATTGTCCCACTTTACAGATGAGGAAACTGAGGTGCAAAGAGATGCAGTGACTTGCTCAAGGCGGGGGACAGGGCTGGCACTGAAGTCTGTTGGAGCCTGGAGATCAAACTCTTTTGGGAATATAGGTGGGGCAGGGTGGTG